CATCTCTATACCCCAGTGCATCCAGGGCAGCCTCAGAGCAGGGCTGCAGGGTGTGTGTTGGGGCTAAAAAGAGCACAGCACCCCTGTCGCTCCCCAGGTTCACGGTAGAGTAGATTCATGGATGTGGGGAGCCAGTAAACGTGTAAACAGCTAGCTGAACAAATCTAACACCTAGACCCCGAGGCTCCTTTACCTACCACCGTCATCATTCCAAGCACCCTCCTTGCTTGCCTCTAAAAGTCCAGGAGGCCCCGTATGGGAAAGGCTCAGGATGACTCCTTGAATGGCTGCATCTTCCAATCTCTGCTGCTCCTTCCCTTCCCTAAATTGGGAGAACCCTCTATCTGAAGTGTCATGTGTTCTAGGAAAGGGCCTGAATGCCTGGCTTGCTGGAGTGCCCCCCGGAAGGTTCACAGGGCTTTCTGCTGCTCACAGGCCACAAGACCACAAGAGGTGTGCCCGCCAGACTGACATTGCTCACCGGGTCCCCGATGAGAGTCTCCTCCAGTGCAACTTCCCAAATCAAGTCACCGAACTTGTTTAAACACAGACATGCACAGGTACAACAGAACCGGAGTCTTCACGGGGCGTAGCCAACACACACAGGTGAGTCAAACCGTGTCAGGCAGTTCTCAACTGGCCCACGGGAGGCAAGTGCCCAACCACCCCACAGGGAGGGCCTGGCCCCGGCCCCAGCCCACCAGATGGATGGGCGTGTCCTTGCTGCGCCAGCGGCCAACAACCTCATCCAGAGATAAGATCTGGGGACCAGAGGAAACGTGTGGACTTAAAGCACTGTCACCCCAGCACCATCTGCACTGACGGGAAAACCTCCTGTGGACGAGCAGCTCCGTAACTCAATAAAAACAAGAACACAAACAGAAGAGGTGCAGGGAAGAAACAGACATGCAAAAAGCCAATAAACATAAAAACTTGCAATTCACTAATAAACCAAGAACACAAGTCAAAACGAGAGGGTGTTTCACTCATCTAACTGGGAAAGAACAAGAAGGGAGGGGAAGACGTGACACAGAGCATATCACTGGGAGAGGAGACTTTCCTGGAGGAAATGTCGCAGTATGTACTCAAAGCTTTAAAAATGTGCATACTTATCACCCAGTAATTTCACTTCTGAGAACTTGTCCTAAAGAAATAATGAGCTCTGCACTGACTTAACAGTATCAGTATTCTCTACATACTTTACACGATACATATATACTCTATATGTAATGTTTATATAAAGATTTAAATATGAAGCTGTTATTCACAGCATTGTTTATTATGGAAAAAAATGGAAATAACCCAAATAGGATATTGTTAGGGGCTGGCCCTGTGGCTTAGCGGTTGAGTGCGCGCGCTCCGCTGCTTGCGGCCCGGGTTCGGATCCTGGGCGCGCACTGACACACCGCTTCTCCGGCCATGCTGAGGCCGCGTCCCACATGCAGCAACTAGAAGGATGTGCAACTATGGCATGCAGCTATCTGCTGGGGCTTTGGGGGGAAAAAAAACAAAAAGCAAAAAAAACAAATAGGATATTATTAAATTAATGATTTACACATAAGATGGAATACTACATAGTCATTTTAAAATATGTTTTCCAAAAATATTAATGACATGGGAAAAGACTTGCAACATATCGCTAAGTTGAAAGGAGAAAGCAGGCTACAGAATAACATGCCGGTAACATGACCCTGATTATGTAAAGCAAAGACATGTGCGTGCGCAGTGCACAGAAAGGGCCGGGGGACAGGTGAGCACTGAGCAGTGGCTCAGCTGTAGATGGGAGAACTACCCCCTTCATGCCTGATATGACTTCTAAATCTTCTACAACGACAACATATTTGTTTAGAACCCAAAAAGGCCTCCTGCATTATTTAAACAAAGTAGCAAAAATTGGACTAAGACTTTCAGAAGTGTCAGTCTCCCCTAAACACGATGGACACGACAAGCCCTGTGAGTGTCAGCACGGTCCTGGGTGCCCGCTCTGAGAAATAACACTGTGACAAGGCCCATGAGATGAGAGGAACACAAAAGGTCAGAGGATGGAGGGAGCTCAGCCCAGTGAAGGCATCGGACGGCTTTGTAGGAGAAGGTCGTCAGGACAGGGCAAGTTCTTAGAGAAAGCATTTCTGGTTGGGGAAAGCCACAGAACCAGGGACACACAGGCCGAAGAGAACATGCATGAGACCTGAGTGGGAAGGAAACCGGACAACATGGACCTCGTTTAAAGCAGGGCCTCCAACCAGAGGGCAGGGGCTCAGGGCAGAGCACACAGCTGAGGTGGGATAACTGTTCCTTTCGATTTTTCAGGCCTATGCATATGCTGGCAGGACTGACAAAACAGGCATGCGGGTCAAGGCACTTGCAGAGTCGTAATGCACTGTGTCACTGTCTTCTCCTCAGATGACAAGTCATCTCCAATTACTCTGCCCGTAGCGACCCCACGAGGGGCCTCGCTCCCCACTGCAGGTCTTACAGGAGGAGAGGCACAAGTCAAAGTAAGTGGGAGAATGGTTGTTACCAGAACTGGAGACTCAGAGATGCAAACTGCTGGTTTGTGGAGGAACAGATGAATCATAGGTATTAAAACAGAAATGTCTGGGGAAGTGTAAGGGGCTATAGGATGGGGGAGAGCCACCAGATCAAGACAATGTCCCCAAGGCTCTGGGAAGCGCCAAGCTGTGGCAGACGGCTAATGTCAAAAGTTCTGAGGATCAGAGGCGATTTTCAGACGTGATGTCCTGAGACGACACAGAATTCTGGTCTGCAGCTTTCAAAGTGCTTTCATACCCATTCCCTCTTTTGGTCCCGGGAGGTGAGCAGAACAGATATGATGTTCATTTTACAGATGAAACCACCAAGGCTCGGAAAAGTCAAATGACTCACCTGAAAGCTCACAAGGGTAGTAGGTGGCAGAACCGGCTGGACTCAGCTCCCTGGCACCATTTTCCCCAAATACAAACCCAGGTGCTACCCCTTGCAGGGGTGCTCCCAAATTCAACCAAAACTCCAGCTCTGCCCCTCACCTCTGGGGGAGCATTTACTGCATCTGAACTTGAACCCAAGCTCGGGGCATGGGGCAGATACCCTCTTCACTGGGGAGCCGCAGGAGGTGGGCAGCCTGAGGCAGCCCATGGGCCGCCAGAACAGCCACAGTTCCCGTCCAGAGAAGATGCAACGGCTGGCTCTTACTTCTGAGCCCCCAGCGGCCTGCACCGAACCAGCAGTCCAGAACTGTGTAATGAGGCCTGATGACGGCATTTCCCCCAGATCTATCCCTCTGGATGGATCCTCTGAGCCGTGCGTCTGATCAGGCTGCCGCAAGCCACAGGTAGCTACTGAGCACAGGGAATGTGGCTAGTGCCACTCAGGAACAGTGTTTAAAGTTAACGCTAGTCAATTTAAACCTAAAATCAAAGAGCGGCTGTGAAAGGGCAGCAGGAGGGACCCTTGTGATGGGAAGTGTTCTGTATCTTGACTGTGCTGGTGGTGGACAAAAGTACATGACCTAAACCGGCATGAGCACGTCTGATGAGGTCCTGGATGTGACACTGCCAGACGATGTTACCTTTGGGAAAATCGCTGTATCCATTCTCACGACTGCCTGTGAATCTATGATGATCTCAAAAGAAAGTTAAAAAAATGAAACCACACGTGCTCAGTGGCTCTTATAGTGGACAATGAGCTCTAAAAAGCCACATTCCCACTGAGCTACAGAAACGACACTTACGTGGAGCTCCCATTCACGTCTGTCGTTCTGCTCCCCACACCACTCACAGAGGTTGTTGGATTTAGGGGGGTGGGGGCACTCCTGGGCTAAAGAGGGGATGAGTGCGGGGCGAGGGTCACAGAATTAGCATCGGGGGGAAAGTGTGATCTTCTTAGAAATGAAGGGTTCATAAAAAGACTGTCCTCCAAGTTGAGAATAAAATCCTGCAACTCCTTGCGGCCGGGTTCGTTGCGGAGACCCCCCCCAGCATCCCCGGCGGATGCCCTGAAAATCCTACACCAAAGGACCCCCCATGGCAGGTAGGGGCAGCCCGGGCAGGCGGGCCACTGGACTCTCCCCAGAGACCGGGCCAGGACACACCCGCCCCGCGGCCGAAGTGTGCGCGAGTTGGGGGTCAGAGCCCACCCTCCGGCCCCTCTCCCACCACTCAGCCCGCTCAGCCTTGCTTTACAAAGTGGGGGGCGCGCAGAGGGAGAGGGCAAGAGGGCCGGCTCCCTGGCAGCGGTCAGCGACAGGCCCGAGGGGTCCCCTCCTCCAGGATCGTGAACAACTGCGGCTCCTCCTCTGCCCGCGGGGTCCACCGCCGAGACCCTCGCAAACAAAAGCGTCCGCCGTGAAGAAGCCGCCTCCGCAAAGGGCAGCAGCGCCAGATTCTATCAGCCAATTATCCAAACGCGCACAGCCACCGCAAGTTCGGGCACGCTCCGGCCCGGGCGCGGGCAGCGGGAGGGGCCGCCGGCCGGGCGCGCCCGGGGAGTCTGGGCCTGGGGCGCGCCGGGGTTGCTGAGGGCATGGGGGCTGGTGCGCGGGACCGGGGGCCGGGCCCGGGGTCGGGGGCTGCCTGCCGGTCTCCCCCTCACTGGCTCCGAGGCTCCTCCGCAGAGCAAGAGGCGGCGCGGTCAGGGCCCTCCCCCGGGCCGGGCCCCCGAGGCCCCTCCACGGCCCCGAATCCGAGCAACCCCCAGGTCGCCCCGGAAACGCCGCCCCTCCACGGCGCGGCGCGCCGGGTCGCCTCCCGCTCGTGGAACAAAAGAGCCGCCCCAGCGGAGGGTCCGGAGCCTCTGAGCGCCGCGGCCCCAGCTGGACGCCACCAGGCTGCCGGGCTTTGTGTCCGCGCAGGGGCGGGAAGCACGGCGGACCCCTGCACGTCCCACGGTCGGCGCCGCGCTCCAAAGCTGTCGCCGGCGCCGGTCCCTCCCGCACCGCCCAGTGCCCCACGGGGCGCCCATTCATTCGCGGCGGGGGGGTGCAGACCGCCGGCCGGGCTCACCTTGCTCTTGACTTCCACCGCGCTGCAGTCGTAGAAGCGCAGGGTCTGAGACTTGTGGAAACTCCGGTTCATGGTTCCGGCCCCGCTCAGCCTCGTCCTTGTCCTCGCTCCTCGCTCCAGGAGTTTCAGAAGGACGATGGGGCCGCGACCCCCGCCG